CTTTCCCCACCCGTGGCCGTTGCAGCCCCAGTGCAGGGGTGGGTCTGGACACGGCCGTGGCGTTTTGGGTCTTTCCCTTTGCTGCAGGAATTGCTTTGGTGGGGCCGCGCGCAGCCCAGCGGTACCGGCACCGCGGGGCGAGCAAAGGGCTGCGGCAAAGGCTTGCGCTCAGCCCGGGGTGACGAGCTCCTTCCCACACGCAGGCAGGTGCAATGCAGCCCCAATTTCCCCAGCCACCCGGCTACAGGCTATTAATATTGTACACATTATAATTATAATATTATCATTATACTCTGCTCCAGGTGGGGCACCTCAGGGCAGGGTCATCCGCTGGCTACGTGTGCCGGTGCTCGGTGCCGCAGCGCTGCCGGCAGCACTGGGGCTGCACCGTTTGCGTTGCTGTGCTTTGATAACCTGAATATTTTATCCTGTTGGACAGCGTTCCCATCAAAGCTTGGGCTGGCTGGACTCTCTGGAGCGCTCGTGGTTGCTCTTCCTGCGGGATATTTGCACTGGTGGTGGTGGTCAAGGGGATTTTTGCCCGGAAAATTTAGAGCGTGAGCATGACTGGGAGCACGTGTTTGTGGTCAGGAGGTGCCAGGCGGTGCAGGAGGACAGGGCCCTATGGGGTTTTGGAGATTCCTGGTGCAGAGAGGTGCTCGTCCCTGTTTCGCTGCTCTCACCCTGCGCTGTCCTGTGTCCCCCCCCCTCCAGGTCTGTTGAAGATGCACTGGTCACCAGAGCATGCCCAGTCCCTAAACCAGTGGCCGGAGCAGCACCTCGACGTCTCCTCCACCACCTCCTCACCTGCCCACAAGTCCGACCTCTACCCCAGCACCCGCCAGCGCTTCAACTACGCCTGGGCCAACGACGACATCTCCGCGCTCACCGCCTCCAACCTCCTCAAGAGGTACGCCGAGAAGTACTCGGGGGTGCTGGAAGCGCCCTACGAGCGCCCGGCGCTCAGCGGCTACGGGGATGGAGCCTTCGGGCCGGTTAATGGGCAGAAGGGGGGAGGGGGGGCCCGG